ATGTTTCGGCCTCAGACGGCCATCATCAGGTGTATAACACTCACGTCGCTGTCACACTGCATCCAGTTCAAAATTTAACATCTAAAACACTCTCCCTGTCATTATCAACTTCTACTTCGTTGATAGCTGTCCACCCGTAGATTACTTCACACACGTTAATTTTGAGTTTATTGTAATAGCACCATAATAAGTAANTTGAAAAAGTTGCATTAGAGAAGGAAAACTCTACAAAAATTGGTTCATGCTTCAGTTTTAAATACTATTCTGGCATTTGCCTATAACGATTCAGGAAAACAGCCTCACTTAGGACAGTGTCCTGTCAAGATTCAAAACGAACAGCTCTTAAACAGAAGCTGGACATGTTATGGTTTGAGCAAACCTTTTCTTTTGTAAGGTGCATACTAATTACAACACAAATGTCTTGTTTCCAAATCATCGGCATCAAGTCACCCCCATCCAAAAGCGAATCAAATACTCCTATCATCCATGGCTACTTCCTTCCCCCTACTTCTATAGAACCTGCAACTTTCCCAAATTTGTCACTTCTAACTTGAAGATAGAGGCAGTATCTTCCTTTAAAAGGTTTATACCCATCCATCAGACTATGGTGTCATGACCACGAGGACCATAATATTGTCACATATTTGAGGTGTGTGAGACCATACATGGAGTATGGATTGGATATTGGATTTATTGACCACCTGTAACCACCACTCAAAACTACACTTTAGAGATCACTGACACACAACCTCAGTCCCCACTAGCCACTTCCTAGCAATGGTTTCTACTGAGGGAGGTTCTTCAGCTTCTCACACTCATGTCCTCTTGTCACAGCTGCCTGTGCAGAACTCTTGTCACGTGACAACTCAAGTAACTGGGTCCCAGGCTGGGAGCCATTTCAGACCAACATCCTAGTCTTCTCTTCGCAGGTTGACTTTCAACTGACAACTGAACTCTCTCACCAACCAGCTATTTCACGTCACTTGATTCAGCTGAACTGCTGACAACGCTAACTGCAGCTCGGCTGGTATCCTCATCATATAACCTCAGGATGGACCCAACAGAAAACACCATTCTTCTATTACTGCGTGTGCTTCCTAGCAACGGCCACTGTTTACAGAGTCACTGCTTAGCAGCAGGTCTATATGCAACAATACACATGTTGGTGAAACTGTTCTTGAGTCTACCCTTTTAAAGATTCTAGTAAATCATGTCTCATCTGTGATCAGGACTAAAATCAAGCACATTCAGGTATTATCATGTCAAATGGTGGGTAAGGTCTTTCCTCATGGGTGTCCAAATATTGTTGACATTACCTGATTATCAAGAGCACCTACTGTTGGAGAACTGCTACAAAAGTAGCAAAAAAAATATTCACTGGACTTTTAAGTCCATGCTGATCTGTTCTCAGACGAAAATTTCTGCCAGAAAAGAAATGGACAATCCTGAGGCATATTTTACTTGGCCCTTCCCACTTCGTCCCATAAGTCAAACACCATCAAACTACAACTAACACACAAGCATGAATATATTGGTACAGTGTCTGCATTAAGTAATGCAACAACCACAATTAAGCAATGAAAGAGCGAATAAATTGTAGGTACAGGTTGCGGCAGAATTGATTAGATGATTTAAAACTGGCACCAATTGCATATGCTGGTAGATAGCGTGTTGACTGCTGCAGCTGCTTTGAGAGCAGTTCAAAGCCTATTAGTAGCCATGGAGGGTGGGTCATGTGAGCATCGTGCATTTGCTGTGGAGAGCTTTTTAAAAATAATGATTCAGCTACTCAGAAACAACATGAATTTATGCAGCACTTTAACACTGGAAGAAATACGAGGGTAAGACAATAAGTAAGTTACAAATGGATATAGAACTTAAACAAGTAAGAGTACTGATCTGAAAAAATGCTTTTATTTCTCCACATAATCTCCCTGTATACTGAGGCACTTGTCCCATCATTTCACAAGCCCCTGAAAACCAGCAGCATAAAATTCTTTGGGCTGCTGTCGGAACCAGGCAGTGACTTCCCTTTCTACAGCTTCATCGTTGGGAAAATGTTCAGCCGAAAGATGGTGTTTAAGAGGGCCGAACAAATGGAAGTTGCTTGGAGCAAGGTCGGGGCTATACAGAGGATGCTTGAGGACTTCCCACCTGAAATTTCGCAGCGTTTCATTTGTCTTGTTGGCAGTATGGGGACGTGCGTTGTCATGCAGGAGCAACACGCGTTTGGTGAGGAGTCCTGGTCGCTTCCATTGAATGGCCTTACGAAGTTTCCTGAGGATGTTACAGTAGGAGTCGGCATTTACGGTTTGTCCTGGAGGCTGGAATGCAGTGAGCAGTATGCCTTCATGATCCCAAAAGACTGTGAGCATCACTTTCCTGGAGGATGGTGTAACCTTAAACTTTTTTTTTTTGGCAGGCGATGCAGGATGTTTCCACTGCATTTACGCATGCTTTGTCTCGGGCTGGTAATTGTGAGCCCAAGACTCATCACTTGTGACAATTCGGGCTAGCATATCGTGTCCATCATGGTAGCGATTGAGATGCTGTAATGCCAGACTCATTCTTTGCATTTTGTGTTGTGGGGTCAGCATGTGCGTCACCCATCGTGCACAGACTTTGTGAAAACCTAACCTATCATGCATTATGAGGTAGGTCATGCCGTGTGAACAACCAATAGCAGTGGCTATAGTGTCTATAGTTACTCTTCTGTCTGCTCGGATTAAGTCTTCAACCCGTTGCACATTCGCCTCTGTGGCAATCTCCATTGGCCAGCCGACGCAGTGTTCGTCTTGATATGTGTCTGGCCTTCAGAGAACTTCTGCACCCAACTGTAACAGCTTGACGTGACAGGCACTTCTCACCGTAAATGGGAAGCATTTCTTTATGAATATTCTTTGATTCCATACCTTTTGCCCACAAAAATCACAAAACGGAGCACTGCTCAAGGATTGTACACTCACTCAGAGGCACTGCCATCTTGCAACTGCTGTTTCGCTTTTGTAAACATTGATGGTCTCGTGTCGAATATCATCAGTTACCAGTGGACTAATGCTGCCATCTAGTGGCAATAGCCTCAAGTGCCTCATTCAAACATATAGTACCCCACATCAATTTGTAACTTACTTACTGACTCACCTATGTAGTAAGGTTTTGACATATCAAACCATTTTAAATTGGGTAAGCCAATTTAGGTCAACTGCTTCCTCCTTGCCAAAGAAGAACCCTGGCCATCCACGATCAGTGTGCAACCCAGAAAATGTGGAGAGGGTGTGAGTGGCCCTACAGCAAAGTCCACAACACTCTGATAAACAACATTCTATAGCACTAGGCATGTCAAATAGGAGTTTTTGGAGAATGTTACACATGGATTTGCACTTTCATCCATTCAAGAATGCAAGAATTACTGCCTTGTGATTCAAATATGTGAAGGGACTTTTGCACCAAGCTACTGGAAATTATGGACACACTACCAAAATTTATTCCAAACTTCATAACATTAGATGAAGCCCATTTTCGTCTAAGCGGGTATGCTAATTAGCAGAATTTCAGGTGCTGCGCAGAAGAAACCCCGGGCTTATGGCATCAATCACCTTTGCATAGCCAGAAGGTCAGGGTATGTTGTAGACTCAGTTCATTTGACATTTTAAGAGCATACCTTTTCTTTACACCAATGAACATGCAGTTACAGTAACTGCTGAGCTCATCTGACTGATGTAAGTTTTGTGGTTTTCGCGGCAATGACTATGAAGAAAGTTGTCTTCTGGGATCTGGCGCCGTGTATTCTTCGTTTTAACCGACGTTTCGGAGGAACATATCGCCTCCATCTTCAGGGTAGTTGAGTTGCGTGCGAATAGAGATAGCTGTAGCAGCTCCTCCGAAACATCCGTTAAAACGAAGAATACACGGCGCCAGATCCCAGAAGACAACTTTCTTCATCCAACTGATGTCTTCAAAAAGTAATTACCACATGGCATGATTTCCTACAGACTTCAAAAATCTGCGTGTCATATATTAGCTGAAAATAAATTACTCATTTCACAAATTTAAATTGTCTACTGTATTCTGCCACATCCTGTTAATGGAAGTCACATATTTCCTTTTTTTGTACTTCATAACTGTAGATACATCTGAGGTATAGAGATGTCTCATATCAAATCATCGTGATCTCCTTTCCTTACTGCATAAGCAATGAACTCGATGTCCCTTGTTAGCCAATCCCTTGTTACAGATGGCATGCAAGCAATCTGAAAGTTGTTATGGCAAATAGCAACATGATGACTCAATCTCATAAATACGTAAGCTGCCCATATAAAATATTGTAGCTAGCAAGTCTGGAAGTTTGTACTGCATAAACACATATAGGAAACAAAGAGGTGAAATGGTTTTAGAGTACCACATTAGGGTACTTTGGGATCATAAAGATTAAGGTATATAAATAACATATTCTGCTGATACTACAGGAGCTGTACATACAATTTCACTGAATGTGTATAAATTACAGTAATATCTGTCCATGGTTGCATTTCTTTCACGTATCAAAAGTCATCTCCTCCACCCTCAAGCTATTTAAATAGACTCAAATCCTCCAGCTCTGAGGGATGAACATTAAAACAGAAGTGACACGCAGAATGTTGTTGGACATATTTAATTTAAGAACAGAGACAGTGGATGAAAAAGAACATCTGTATAAATACAAGAATTGAAACTCCTCAGTCAAGGTTTCCTTGCCATCAACAGATCTGAACATTAAGTTGAGGAAAGTGTTACATGGAGGAAATTTAACATGGGGCCATGACTTGGGATAACTGAAAATGGACCTTAAAAAACCTTAAAAATCGATGAACATTAATTAGGGGTTCTACTGTATTACATCCTTTCTAAGTTTAAAGTTGCAGATCAAATTTTTCATGCTCAAGTAGAATGGTATAATCTTCATAATCTAAATCTTAATGCAAAATCTTCAAAATTTTTAAATCAAAGCAGAATTAAATTACCTGCAAGATGGTCTCAAAGTTGAAAGTAAGCCCATTCCAAAGTGTAAATTCTCCGCTAGATGCACCTGTAACCAGGCGGCGGCCTTCAGGAGTCCAAGCCATGCAAAATATGGGACAGCGCATTTTATTGGTAGCAGTCTTCACAAAACGTGTTGTTACAGAATTTATGGCATTGTCAATATAACTAGGTGGTGGTTGGAGGTCTGGATAATACGTCACATCTGGCTGCAATGAGCGTCGGTCCCGAAAATCCCTCTGCCATATACGACACTGTAAAGGAAATTCATACAATGCACAGAACACCAATCCGCAAACATATAACAGTAGTTAAAAGTGGTAGAACAGAGATCTTTTTAAATAAATAACTAACTAATGCCTACTTCATACTCGAGGCCCTGAGTTCAATCTCACCCTTTAGAGTGGCTTGTGGGTTTTTTATTCTTTTCCTCCATCCATCCACACAAATGTTAAAATAGGACCTTAAATTAGCCAAAAACCATTTTCTTCATATACTTTACATTTAATTATTCACTCATCATCGTACCATTCAATGTTATATAGTATGAGCTACTGACAGCATCACTAAATGAACGACAAATAAATCTGACTGACTGAATTAACTGAATCTACAAAACATAAGAGTTGTTTAACTACTCAAAAAATTCTGTTTCTTATGAAACACAAGGGTATTATCATCATGTCAACATGAGCTCATATCTGGTCCAAATTAATCCAGTCCACATCCTCCCACAACACTGCCTTATAAACCACTTCAACACTATCTCCACAACTATGCCAACGTCTTCTGGTCTCTTTCTTCCATGTTTTCTAACCAAAACTTTGTATGCATCTCACAATTCTCCCATGCATGCTACATGTCCCATCCTCCTTAATTTGATCACCCCTATACAGTAAACTCCAATTATCCAGTATCCAAGTATCCAGAACTCTTATGCAACCAGCAAAACTAATATAAATAAATGAAATTATTTCAGAAACACTGAAAAGTGCACATTTTCATGCACCACAAACTAGATTTTCAGTTGCTGCTAGCAGCACTGCCCACTGTCCTCCGTCATGCATATGCCATTAGTTATAAGGATGCAAAATTCAAGTAGAGGTTAGATGAATCTGTGACTATGTTATATTCTTAAACCGATAAAGCCAGTGTCTCCTAAGACAACACACTAAAGTGATTAACATACTGTTCTGACTTCAAAACAGAAAATGGAGATATTAAGAGACTGGAAAAGGGGCTAAAATTGCATGAAAATTGGGTTGTGCAAGAATAGCAGCAGATCTGCATAACCAGCATATCCACTATATTCACTGTTCACTCTATTTGAAAATTACAAATTATAAAGTTTCTCACTATGTAATTTTCTCTAATTCCATTACTTTCTCCTTCTTGGGTCTAAATACTCTCTTCAGCATCACATTCTTCCTTTAATGGGGGCAATGACCATACAAAACAACAAATAAAAATTGTAGTATACATTCACACTTTCTGAGTGCAGACAGAAAACAAGAGACACTGAACTGAGCGTGGCAAGCATGCCCGAATTTATTCTGTTCTCAATATTTTGGTGAACTCAATATCAATTTGGCATTGGCATTCCGAAAGATTTAACTCTGTCATATCTTCAAAGGATTTATTCCTTATATTCAAATGATTCTGTGCAGCATTCTGGCAATAAAAAATTAACATATACATAGTGCCCTATGTGTTTAATTCTAGACAACCATCTTAATAGCATAAAATGGATCTTTTGGTGTTTTTCCTTATAGTATTTATGTTCCTGTCCAAAAAATTTACACCCTCAGCACATAGCAGAAGCTGTGGGCCACTTAATTCCAACCCTTCTCAACTTTACTGGACATTCATAACAGTATAATCTAAAGTAAAACCAAAAAGAACTTGACATAAGAGATCTCCTTGTTTCAGATCATTCCAAACAGACAATGCATTTACACATATAAGTTCTGTTTAAACACATTTTTATTAGCCTACCTTGTTTCATGGGTATACTGAATTCCTCTCCTACATAAATCACATCCCACACTACAATCTACAGACAGCTGCTCTACATCCCACTGTACCTAATTTTTTCTCCAGTATATGACAAATGCAGAACATGTGATCAGTGGTGCACCTCTTACACTGAAAGCCACACTGATGATCCCCAGTAACTTCATCTATGTGTGGAATCAATCTTCACAAAAGAATACAAGTATCCCTCATTTTATAAACACTCGATTTATGAATTTTCACCACAATAAAGCAAATCAATTTGTACCCATTTTTCACTTAATGAACTTCAAATCTGCTACAATAAACAAATTACAAGTTTTGTGGCTTCTGCATTTAAAGCGATGGGAATTTTACTTTTGATTCATGAGCTTTGACCTCACAGTTTTCATGGACTGTATTACCTTCGTTAATTCAGGGATACCTGTCCTGGGTAAAATTTTGTAGGTAAATAATTGGTGATATTCTTCAATAATCACAACAGTTTTTATCATTTTTTTAATATGGGCCATCCCATGTAAAATCAACACAGCAGTGGACAGGCATGAAATTCTGTAAGCCTGCAGTCTGATACACAAATGATAAATATGAAGTTCTTCCTTCTTATGCCAATTAATTTCATTGATATCGCATTTTGAAGTTGTAAGTCTTCTTTAACTTTTCTTGCATTCTGATATATTATAATGCTTAAAACTCTGGTCCTAATTAAGGTACAGACCACAAGCCTGTACTAACCGAAAGCCCTTAAATAGGGTTTTAAATTTCATATATCATTCTGATGTTGACTCACAATCTTTGACTATAATTTATGAAACATGTATAGCCAGATTTATGCAAAATTTTTCCAAAACATTTGGCATTTAAGTACATTTTTAGAAAAAGTAATGTTGGGACATGACTGGACTGATGAAATACATATATTTTATTATTACATATTACACACACATTGCTCTTGGTCACTTCAACTAACTAAAACAAACTACATAGGCATAAAGGAAACCTGTCAGGCTTATTAAATAAGTTTGTCATTTAAGAAGGAAATATTACACTATGGGTAGGTATTTAGAATCTGAAAAAAGCATGGTCTCGACTTTCTCAATGGTGAAACAGGACTCCTTTTCTTTTGAATTAACACAAATACAATCTCGTATTCCTGGCATGATCCGGTTGATTTCATCATATACATAAAACTGCTTCACAATTTCAACTGTGGCAGGGGTCAGCATTTTACTTGATTTTACCCTCAGGCTAAACAAAATCCTTTTCTCAGTCACCAATTTCTTGGTAGTCTGAACCATGTACTTTGAGGCTTTGAATTCTTGCTGGATTTTCTTAAATGACCAGCCCTATGGAAGAATGGTCAAAATTTGAACCTTCTCAGTGTTTTGTTATGTGAAATTTCTCCACAGCTGTGCTTTCATTTCCAAACTGTTGTTACCACTGGAGCCTGTTAAACTAAATATTTTTCTTTTCGCAGCTCTTTCAACTTTCCTGATTTTTTTCCGCTTCATACAGAAACAACTGCTTCATTTACAAAATTTTGGGAAAATCTGAAAGTCCTCCTACATTTATTGCACATTCTTTGCCTTTTCCAAATACTAGGAACCTTCTTTATCATCCAGTGCAACATAAGTCTCAGGTATTTCTTGGAAATTGTACTGTGACTAACATTCATGGGATTACAACACTGTTTTAAAATATTAAAAGCTTTGGTATTTCAAGCACTTGCAGCCATTTTAAATATGGCTAAAATAAAAATTAATTTTTCACTTCACCAAACCACTGATGAATTTGCCAGACAAGGAAATATAATTTACCTTTACTGGCATCAGCCATGAATTGAAAACTAGATGAGTTATGATGCCCTGCAGTATGTATGTACAGCTCTCAACACAACTCATCAGGCCCAATTACATCATTAACAGAGAAAATTATATCTTCTCATCGCTTTAACATCCAAACATAATACTTCCCACATATGTACTGAAATTATCATTAGGTATTGTGGGAAAAACTTACAAAAATCTGAAGGGTTCTATCATCTGAGGTATAACACCATGTAGTTTGCTGAAAGTCAACCAAAGTTTCAGAGAAACATATTGTCTCCACCATCAGGGTCAAAGATTAAGCCAAGCATACCCGCTTCATGCTGGTTTCTTGCTTGGCTCATTCTTAGACCCTGAAGATGGAAGAAATATCCCAGAAAACAGAACTCCTTGTAACGACCGCTGTGAGAACATCAAACCCTTAAAGGCAAAGCTGTCCCTGTGCTTAGTTAATTAAGCACTATGCCATGAAGACAAATGTGCAGCTCCACCTTTCTTGACTTCAACATTAGATGGAGGTGAGTGGTCAGCTTCATGCCCTTGCCACTTTGTGCCTTGGGGAAAGAGACAATGACACCCATTGGCTAGGAGGCTGCATGGGCCTCTGACCTCAATCTCTACATTGTATAAATCGGGCTGTATGTTTTTTTCATAAAGTAAGGTCAAAATGTTAATGTGCCCTAAAATATTGGCTAAAATATTTAGGCCTAAGTTGATACTCAAATTATGTAACAAGTGGAGAGACTCCTCATATCCCACCTATTCTATTTTAGTTATATAGTGTCAGAACAATACTCACAGTGCAAAAGTTTATTTCTTTCATCTGTTCTGTGGTTAAAATAAAAGATAAAAAGATAAAGCTATTCCTATAAACAGGCCATGAAGGCCCATAGAGTTGTGAGGCATTTAGGCTCCCACATTTGCTCTAAATAATCAGCTCACAGATGGTGATAAAGTTGTCAGCCTTATGCGGCAGCCACCCTTTACCCCTCCCCCCCAAACATTCTTGGTATTCATTTCTGTTAGAGGCTGAGTTGACCTCAGGGTCACAGTATGACTGGAAGGGTTAGGTAAATTGAAAAGAGAAAATTATGTCATTAGGACTCAAAATCGCAACCTTCCACCTTGTAGCACAGTGCCTCAACCAACTATGCTATTGCATGCCTTTGTGGTTACAATGTATGAGAAAAAAGGTGGAAAATTACACAAGGAAAAATAGGATCTTTTTAAAGTAATTTAAAGCAATGAACAATAAAAAACTTAAAAACCAGCACTTGCACAGTTGTTTATGACAGCACAGGTTGCATTACATGCTGTAACTGTAGGTAAACATCTGATGTGCAGCTGTTAAATAAGGAGACTGCAGGCACAACTCTCAAACTAATTTCCCTATCCACAAACACAATTCATGGTTG